CACACACACACACACACACACACACACACACACACACACACACACACACACACACACACACACACGTACTGGGGAAGAGTTCAAAGGGTGCAGCTGCTGCACACGTTTCCAAGATCTACCACATTTCTCCTCTTACACCCAGAAGTAGACTTTTGTAATAATCTAAGCTGAAGATGTTTTAAAGCTGTAGGAATAAGATCAATGGAAACATTAAAGCTGCTGCCAGTGGCTCATTAGTGTTGTCATGATAACAGGACCGGATCTCTCACTCMCAGACAGCACTCRTAATCWGACAGGYAGACAGAAATGCAGAGTAAAATATAAGCTTTAGTCACTGTATTGAAAAAAGCTTGACCCTTAGGTTGTACAGGTAGTCAGTTGTTACACAMATTGATTATTGTTTTTGTTRTTTTTTTAAGGAAATAATTTGAAAAAGCTTCACTTCCAGTTTTTAAGGGAAAGTTCTGAGCTCAGAAACTATGGAAGTCAATGAAAGTTTGTGTTCAAATCCCTGCGCTCTGAAGGGGATTTGAGGAGAAAACAAAAGTCTGACAGMAGTTAGTAAATTGTGTATAAGAGTCTGATTTTAAAGGATAAAGTGTGTTTTCATTAATTTAGAAAATGTTCAAAAGTTAGTGTAAAATGTCATCACACTCTTCTTACATTTATCATGTTTTTATTACACTGAAGAACATTCATGCTTAGTTTATAAAGATAAAGATCTAAATTTTTGCTGTCAGTGGGACTAAATTGACAAAGGTCATTGCTTTGTGTRAAAATAGGCCATATTTTGTTGCATCTATTGGACCTAATGCTGTTGCTGTGAGCATAATTAATTGTTTCTAAATGTGATACCAGAGCAAAATTCTATCAGTTTGACAGTAGACAAATATTATGAAGTGCAAAAATGCAGGAAATGTTTGCTAATAGAGAATTTAAAAAATGTGAGAAAAAAAATGTGAGAGCCGGAGAGAGGTTAATTAAGGAGCTGTCTGGGTAGATTTAATATTTTARGAAAGTACAAAACAGGAGGAAGGGAAGTGAAAAAAGAAAATAGGAAGAAATGAGCAGAAGAGCAGAAAGTCAGAGACATGCAGATTGAGTTTGGGACCTCTCAAAAGCCTTCTGTGCTCATTAAAATAGAAGCTAAGTAAAAAGGATTTAAACATTTTATGCATCAAAATAAATGTTTGATAAAGATCAGATGTCATCTGAGATTGTAGGAACAGTGTTTTGTTTTTTTTAATCCATCATTAAAGTGCAGTTTTTTGGTACAGTTTCACAATGTTTAATACAAAAGATACAAAGACACGTTTTCATGCTGATTTGTTTTGTTTCTAAGATCTCAGAAATAGATTTTATTTTAAAGAAATAATCAAAGCATTTGTCAGATCTGCATGAAGCGAATGGAAACCACCCGGTGGACGTTCTGACATCAGAGGAAACATGAATGGAGATCAGTCCAGAGCTCRTGTGTGCAGTTCAGGCTGCTGCTTCTTTAGAGTTCAGCAGCTCTGACTGACGCTGCAGCCTCCTCCTCTGATGGACCACTTCACCCTTCAGTGGAGCACTACGCCTCAACACACACACACACACACACACACACACACACACACACAACTGACAGG